ACCCAAGATGGCGGCTCCTGGAGCAGCCGAGCGTCTTGGACTAGAAAGCAATAGATTTCTTGCTTCTGCCACAAATTCCCCAGCTGTGAGCCTTCCAACCGTCTGAATATTCCTTTATATGTGGTTCAGAGTTCTGGGACCATCACCTGAGCCTGCTTGGTCGGGTATTCTGTGTTGTTGCTGGCGGAGCTCCTTTACTACACTTCCACCCTATCCGCCATCTTGTTTGTTCTCCCAATCTATGCAGTTTTGAAAGATTAAAAATAACAGTTTCATAATGTGAAAGAAAAAGCAATTATGTTTTTTATTAATTTCATTGGCTAGCCTTATATCCCTGTTCTTTTATTTGCATCTGTTATCACAGCTATAGAATGAAGGAGCCACACAAATATTCTCTAATTGTTTTAAAATCAGGAAAGATGTGTGTTGGGGTTTTAGCCTTTTACCCTGTTTATTCCCTCGGTTTGCGGAGCAAATAGTTTGAGAGTCAGGAGTATATGAAGAAGATTGCATCATCAGGGTTATAGCCAAACTCATGAATGGTGTGTAGGTGATGTAATCTTGCTTGCTGAAAGCAAAAAGGACTTAAAACCCTTGCTGGTGACAATCAAAGGCTGTAGCTTGTAGTATGCATTATAGATCCCTCAACATGATCATAACTGGACCAGTGAGCAACATCATGCTAAGTGGAGAAAACAGTGAAGTTGCCAAGGATTTTATGTTACTTGGATCCATAATCCATGCCCATGGAAGCAGTCAAGAAATCAAATGACTTACTGCGTTGGGCAAATGTGCTGCAAAAGAACTCTTTAAAGTGTTGAAAAGCCAGGATGCCCCTTTGAGGAGCAGTGTACACCTGACCCAGGCCATGGCATTTTCAGTTGCCTCATATGTAATAAAAAATTGGACAATGAATAAGGAAGATCAAAGAAAAATCAACACCGTTGAGTTAGGGTGTTGGTCAAGAGTATTAAATAATACTGTATACTGTCCGAAGAACCTTAAACCTATTTTGGATGAAGTACAGCCAGAATGTGCCTTAGAAGGTGGGATGGGGAGATGTTGTCTCACATACTTTGGACATGTTATCAGGAGGGCCCAATTCCTGGAGAAGGAATCATGCTTGGGAAAGTATGGGTCAGTGAAAAAGAAGACCCTCAATGAGGTGGATTGATGAGGGTATTCTACAGCGGATGCAGCAGGGGGCTAAATGATTATAAGGGTGGCTTAGGACCAGGCAGTGTTTTCTTCTGTTCTACAGACACCCATTATGAGTCAGTGAGAACTCTGTGACATCTTGCAACACCTACTAATTGTAACTCAAAACAAGTTGAATGTTACTGTACAACATTTTATACTGCTTGTATATTTTTCGTGATATTTTTGCATATATTGGTTCATTCTGATTAGTCATCTTTTGTAACCAGTAGCTGAAGACACCTACCTGTGAAGAAGGCCTGAGTTGGTAGAACTAGGATCATGACATCTTTTCAGCTTAGCTGCAGTCTCTCTCAGGTTTCCATGGGGTTCTAGACATCGCATTAGTGAGAATGATTTGGAGTAGTCTGTATTATCTGCTTTCAGACACCATACACCTGTCTTGTTAGAGCCACAGTAGCAGTAGAAATAAAACTTTATCATCAGGAATGAGTATTGTTATGTATTTGAAATAAACTGAATTTCTGGTAGCATAGTGATTACCAATCGAGCTGCTAACCTCAAGGTTGGCAGTTCGAAACTACGAGCCGCTCTGCAGGAGAAAGATGAGGCTTTCTGCTCCCATAAAGATTTACAGCCTCGGAAACCCTGTACAGGGTCGCTATGGGTCGGAACTGACTCCACGGCACTTAACAACAACAACAGCAACATGACTAAGTTTATTCAATGTCATTAATGCTATGTCCATCAAGTATCTGACTTATCCTTGTATCAGCATTAGTGAAAGAAAAACTACTCTCATAAAAGATTCCCTAAAAACAAAACAAAAAACCAACCAAACAAAAATAGTCCCTAAAAGCTATAAAAGTACTCTGTGTTAAAAATACATTTAGGAAAGACTACATTTTATATCCCCTCTCTAGAAGAGTAGTTTATTAGCATATAGAAACGCATGAGCATTTCTATGATGCGTTAGTTCCACATTGTTTAACCTGTAGTTTCTCAGTCTTATTTAATTATGAGACTTATTCTTACCTAACAACTATTAGCTTGTTATAGACCTAGAGTTTACCCCAGCGTACTTTTAGAAATGCTGATTCATGTATATGTACAGACAACTTGGGAATGTTTTTTTTTCTAAGTGTGGGCCCTCTGAACATTACAGAATGCTGAATGAAAAACATGCTACATGAAGTGTGGAGCTTTGTGGCACAGTAGGATGAGCACTGGACGGCTGACTGCAAGTCGGCGGTTCAAACCCACCAGCCACTCCTCAGGGTCGCTGTGAGTCAGGACAACAACAACAAAT